GACTCCTTCACAGACGTTGCCAGGCGAACCGCACAGAGGCGACTATCAACAGGTATCCAGTCAAGTAAGGATACTTCCGCTCGGTGACTTAGCACAATACCAACCCCTGCACATCCCACCGCAGCAGCCTCTGGATCACCAGAGGTGCGCAGACGGAAGCGAGTGGAGACTGACGGGGCGGTTAACTCAGTCACTGTGCTCGCATCTTGAATTCTCGTTTCTGAGACACAGCACACACCAATGCCAAGCGAGTCCAGTGTGAGTGTAAGAGCAGCTTGTTGTTCTCCTTGCTTCAGAGTGCGGACATTGAAGAGACTGGACCTTACCGTGGTGTGACGGTTTGCGCACCTCAGCAATCCATTGAGCTATACTGGAGAGTGTCTCGCGACACCCACAGAGTCTCTCACCAGGTTGGTCAATGGTTAGAGGTCTGACGAACACAATCTCCTGGCCCTCCAGGTTGGGGGTTGGAATATGTGGCGACTTGTTCCGTAGAAATGGTAATGCATTTGCATTTCCCGCCAAACACCGCTGCCTTGCGGTTAGGCTTCTGGGCCAAATGCTTTGGTTGAGGACCCTAATCGTCCTCCTGTCTAGGTGTGGGCGCCCTGGCAGTATCCCAGCCCATGTACAACCATGAATTGCACATACACAAAACGTGAAATAGGCTTTCTGTAACATATTGGCGTAATATGAATAGGGTATTGATAAGGGATGTAAGGGATATAAACAAAGGATGCCAAAGTTTAGATAAGCACCAGTAACGAACTACTGTAGAAGAAGTGTTGCAGGAGACAATCAAAGTAGGAATGTTCGTTTGGGGGTGACTCACCTAACAAAAGCATCCCGTAAGGTTTTGTGGAGCTTGTGATAACAAACCGGCTCTCGAGAAATCAGTTGCCATCCGGTCACAGTATATGCGGTTGGTCGATGGGTGGTGCCCGTAGCCTGAGTGTTCATTTCTTGAAGAGCTGTGAGTACGAGATTCATTCGGAACTTGTAAAACACAGATTGCATGGGATAAGGAACTGCAACTTTCTTTCTAATATTTCTAATGTTTTCAGCCAGGGACGTCTGTTAAGGTGAAAACGCAGACTGAGAAGGATGTGGCTTACCCCAGACGGTGTTACTGTTCTGCCAATTTTTAGACGGTCCTAAAAATTCTGCATGCTCTTTCGTTCACGACACTCAGTACGGTTTGCTTCGCATGTAGAAATCTAGTCTTCGTACTATATCGTTAACAAAATTGGTTGCCTTGTTCTGATGCAGGATTTTTTGTCCTTTGTTGGCTGTGCAAAGCCGGACTAACTGGTCAAATTTGTCAGTACATGGTTGTATAAACCGTACCGAACACTTCCTTCAATCCGCTGTTGGGCCCTCTTTCGTCCTATCCCAAAACGATTCCGTCTGACTTCAGACTTCATTGCACTCCTAAGTGATCACGACTGACCCCTGTACTTAAATACCTGTATTCTCAAATAGTGTATAAGCTGTTTACTGGTCCACTTCTCTTGGCGAATGTTCCCCGTCCAATACTCATGAGAATAGGCTATGTGCTTCGCAAACGGGTGCAAATTAACGTAATCCATCGCTATATCATCGATATTTAGCACCATTTTAAGTAAATAAGGAGTGCTGTACAAATGAATGTAATTTTGATGACTTATTAACGTTACCAGTTCATAGTGGTGTTAGTTAAGCTGCCTGGGAAGAAAGCCGAACGAAATTCAACGACATACCGACACACAGTCATTGGATCCCTCATGAGAACATCGGGTGTTTGGCAGATTCATGATGTCCGTTTGGGCAGGTTCCGTCGTTTTTGTAGCTTTCTACGAAAATTCTTTGTTCTTGGCTAGTGGAACTTCTCTAATTCGCTGCACCCTACCGATGCAAGTAGATTATTCTAGAAACCAGAAAAGACGATTGGTGAGTGTCCTTTTTCTTGGATTTTGACTCCGTATATTTTAGTTTGCGGCAGTGAAGCATCAGTGTCAACATTGATGTTGCTGCGTCCGGTGATGATGGCATTTTCGTTGCAAAATAGAATTTTCGTGTTTTCAATCATTGAGGATAGACTGTGCATAAGCTATATGCGATGAAATGTTGCCTGTTCACTTCTCCCCTTTCCGTTTTCCAACAGGTGCGGGGCACATGGAGAGCGTCTATCCGTATTTTGTTCTACATGCAACAACGTCATATGTCACCAGTGTGCCTTGTTCGATGGCAAACACGAACAGCATAGTTTTCGTCCGCTGGATGAAGTGTACGACGAACGCGTGTTACAAATCGAAACGGAAATGAACCTTGCAATGGAACGACATCTAGATTTGATTTCACTCTCTCAGGAAGTCGTAAGTCAGTTGCTACTTTGCGTGGATTTATTCATTCGTCTGGCCACCTACCAAGCTTGTTTTTCAAGATGAACCTGCGGTGAAAAGGTCATCACTTTAGCGAACTTTGGTATTAGCAAGGTGTTAACCTGATATAGCTCAGTGGTTAAACGTGAACATACTGATCGGGCGGTCAGTGATTCGAACCCGGCATCTGCATCCTTACTCTCCTGTCTAAACTTGGGCGACTTTCTCCCAGGTGGCATGGCAGCTAGACGCAGAACGGGTGTTTCGGATGAACTCTTGTTATTATTATTACTATTATTATCATCAATGTGTTCTAGCCGTCACCCTTCCTCATTCTTTCTAAGCGATCAGAAGATATTGGTTACTTCTTGTTAGGCTGCCATTTAACTTGCTATTTAACAAATGAGCCTGCAGGTGTAAGTTGGACGAGTGAAGTCAGGCTGCCACTGGTAACTTCAGGTTAACTATATATTTTCAAATAAACGAAAGGTTAAGGTAGTATGACTCAAGCACCGCTGCTAACGCCTTGCAGTGACTAAGTTATTTGGGGTTGCAAAATGTTTTCTTCAACCGGTAGCGTTTAAGTTCAGACGACTGTGCATGCGGTCGTAGTGTTGTTGTTATCCTAACAAATGATATGAGTGGAACGATTACACTTAAACGATATATTTGAGTTTGGTGTCAACCATATAACTAATGGAATATAGTATCTCGAACTGCAAAACATAATCTGTCCGTAGCTAGTATGAACTGCCGGCAAAAGTACTCATATTGTTACCTGGAGACCATCAAGTGTAAATCATCCGTTGACTGGGCCTTTATGTCTATCTGTCCCAGTTATCCGGCTCCATCGAATGCAGATTTCCTCACACTTATCAGACCTGATTGATGCCAAAAAATCATCTGCAATTATCGACCATAACGGTGCACATAGTCATCAGATTTCGAATACTGTGGAATGACAGAACGTTTCGGACCTGTTCATGGTTTGGGGAAACCGGATTTCCTTCCGAGAAAATTCCATAAACGAGAAGATGGATTTGCTTAGTCTCGTGGACAATCCCTCTAGAGCCAATCCATTGTAGTTTATGCACAGAATTCGATATTCCTCATTCCCCAGGCTATTTGCTTTTCTCGAAATAGAAAGGCCGAACACAGTTTAGTTCAGTCGGTTCGGTTAGCTGGTTGTCGATTGACGCATTGGGCAATGCGCACCACTGAATTAAGGATACGTCAAATCCTTAACACCAAGCGCGTCCTGAACATGGCCGGCATGAACGGTGACCGGATTGTTAAAGTTCACTACTTGACCATTAGTGAACTTCATTGGATTCCAGACTAATGTATTCCTTTGTCTTCTCTGCGAAATTTCGACTGAAATGTCGCGCTCATGAGGGGACAATAAAGTGCCTACTATTCCATCGATCATGTATATCGGTGACAGTACTCTCCGTGATGTTCAGCAGTGAAAGAAAAGGTAAAACCTGGTGGACTTGGAAATGACGCTAGCACATACTACATGTTCCAGAGCCGCAAGTGCCACTTGGTTTGTCCCGATCCCCCAAATAAGGTTCTGGATTCAATTTTTGTAAGCCTTATTCGTTCCACATGATGTGCACCACTCCGTCGTAAGTAATTCTTAAAGAACTTCAGTTTCCATGTTGAATACCTGGTTTGCGTGTTTTTGATTTTGAGCTCGAGCCTTCTGCGGTTAAGAAACGTTTCGTAAGTTTCTTGTGACTACCACTCCACGGAAATGGGGTATTTTTTCTCTTCACGGTTTGGGTAAGGATCCAGGAGGATGAAAATATTGTGGCTGTACGATTATATTACTAGTAAGAGGTATAATAACGACCGATTATTCTTGATGATTTCTGCACTCTCATTCCATGCTACCGCATGCTCACGTTGGTCTATAAAGAGCAAGAGTATTATCAACCCATATTGTTATCAGACTGTACTTTGATGGCTAGGTGCACACCCTATCGTTCTCCTTTCCAACAATCCAGTTGAAAGGTTGGTGAGCTCACCTGCACATTCACTGACGCTCAAAGCAGAGCGTCTAGTCAGTCCCACTACTTTTATTCGACATCCTTATGGAAACCAAACAGCAAGGAAGAGGTCAACAAGTTCGGATGACCCCAGCTTATTTCGCTTTCTGAGTGAACAGATGTGCATGTTACGGCTATCTGCTTTCTGAGTTTGAGTCACACGTGCCAATCCAGGAAAACGACCAAAAAATCCGAATTCGGGATTCACGGTACTATTGCAAACATGATAATATACATATTCAACAAACCTCAACGGATTCTCCTGTGCAGATACCGTAGGGTTACAAAAATAAGGCGGTACAACTACCAGCCTGAGGATAAAGCGTAAATCACTTCGTCTCAAAATCGATATCGTCACAACCAAACAGATATCGACGGCGAGCAACCGCAAAAATCATAATGTCCGACCAAAGTCCGTAAGAGTTATAAAAATAGTTCGGTGAAACAAGAAGGTTTCAGTTCATCTGGTCTAGGGGAATAAACATGGGGATTGGCTGTCACATGGGGTTGGAAACGGGAGCACATTGTTGGTAAGCTGTCTTCTACACCGCCACGCAAAATCCCAGTGGATTTTTCCCCATCAAGCTTTGGTCATTCCTGGCTCAAATATTTTACTCATCCCAATTTCCAAGTGGACTTACAGCAGTATGCCAAACGGAACTTGCTCACGCGCCAACTCCCAGTGGTCTCTCTGTATGCGATGAGTTCGAAAACCCATCTCCCATCTGCGGAGAGTTGAGCGCGCGGTTCCCATCTCCTTCCACCACCCATACTCACAACCCTCTATCAAACCGATCTTACGCACATCCCTCCTTAGCCTACCGTCCCGTGTGCGTACAACTACGGTCCTAACTAAACCGTCGCCTGTTTCACATTCATCAACTATGCCTACGGTCCACTGTTCCCGAGAGAACGCACCTGATTGCACCAGGACTACACCCCCTTTCCTGAAATTCCTTTGAGGTTTCTGCCACTTAGTCCGTTTTTGAAGCAGAGGTATGTATTCCTTCACCCAGCGCTTCCAAAAGACTTGAGTCAAGTAGTTCACCTGTTGCCAACCTCTCGTATACCTCTCTGTCATACTTCTGGCACAACCCCATGTGCCCTGTTGTTGAGAATGAGCAAATCATTCGGTGTCAAGGCCGGCTTGTCGAAATAGTTGGTTTGGTTGGGCACAATAGGGCGTCCATTCATTACCTGCTCTGCTTCCGTAAGAAACGTTACTAGTTCTTCGTCACTCGTATTCTGCTCATTCACTGTCGACCTTAGTATCCGTCTTACTGAACGTATGAGACGTTCCCATATTCCGCCTCTATTGCTGCTGAACGGTGGGGTGAATTGCCATTCGACGTTATACCGCATTAGTTCAGCGCCGATGCGGGAATGTGAAAGTCGATCTATGGCTCGTTTCAATTCCACCTCCGCCCCGACGAAATTAGAACCGTTATCACTTATAATCTTTTCTGGGGCTCCCCTTCGTGCGTCTTAATGGAGTCAGAAGATAATGAATAGGCCATTTCAAGGTGCACTGCCCCCATCTGTAAGCAGGTAAACAAACGGCCATACCTTTTCTCAGTCTTTCTTTCATTCTTTACTGTCAGTTGTCCAAAATGGTCACGCCCAACTATTTTGAAGAGATGCCAGCCTGGCTGGATCCTGTCGACCGGCAGTGGCGCCATAGCTTGTCGTGAAGCCGTTGTAAGGTTCCTTCGACACGTCCAGCAACCGTGGAGCATCCGCTTAGTCATCGGTACTCCTTGAACGACCCAATATCTTTGGCGCAGTTCGGCTAACGTATGCGATAGTCCACAATGCCCATTCAGCACGTGAGTATTCCAGACTATCAGCCTGGTGATGTTATGCTTCGGGGGTAGTATGATAAGATGTTTAGCAACATGCGGCCACAAAAGGTTATCCAACCTACACATAGCAAGCCATCGATCAATATCGGCCATAAGCGTATTAGTTTGTGGTTGCGTACACTTCGTTCGTCAACCTTATCGGCGCGTTCTAATTTCAGCATGATTTCTGAGTATAACGTTTCCTGAACCAGGCGAACAATATCACGCTCAGCTTGCCTCACTTCTGTGAGTTTCAATCCTCCAGTGTTCAGTGAGGATTCAGTTGAGCCACTTGCCATCATTCTCAGGTATGTTTTAAACCTTGTCAACCATACCACAGATCGTAGAAGTTTAGACCAATCGGAACACCCCTCCATTAAGAGATGCAACCCGGTTGTTCCGAAGCAGCGGTCACGTTAACCAAAGCACGTTTCGTCTTCAATTCTATTCCTTCTGGTATGAAATTTGGTTCGTAGCGTGGCCACTGGACCTCGGGCGCTTCCAAAAAGGATGGCCCCTTGAACCAATAGCGAAGAGCAGTCAGAGAACTTACTCCTCTAGAGGCTAAGTCTGCCGGATTGTTCTCACTCATTACGTGACGCCAATCACCGGGTGACGATAACTGATGAATCGTAGAAATTCTGTTTGCCACGAAGGTACTATAACGAGTGACAGTATTCTGTACATAGTGAAGCACTATAGTTGAGTCCGTCCAATAAGTTGTTCTTGTGAACGAAAATCCTGCTTCTTTCCTCAGTTCTTCCGCCACCCTTGCGGTTAGTCGCGCGGCATTTAGCTCAAGCCTCGGCACTGTTGCAGATTTCAAAGGTGCCACTCTAGATTTGGCGTACATCATCCTCGGGTTCGACGCACCAGCGACAATACGCAACCACACCATATCCCACTTCGGAGGCGTCAATAAACGTATGCAAGTCCACACTTGCATCATAAATATGGACAGGTTTCACGCAACGGGGTGTTTTTAGTTCTCCAATCGATCTCATACTCTCCAACCACAACTTCCACTCCTCTGAGTCTTCATCGCTCAGTTTTTCATCCCAATGTAATTGCTTCTTACACAGCTTTTGTAACAGTATTTTTG